TATTATATGGGTAGAGTGGAAGGGTGTTAGCATGCGGTTTTGGCATCTGTAGGCTGATGTTTGAAGATCGTATTACAATAATTTTACAAATTCAAACTTATTACTCTGCGAACATTGCCTTTTGTGATGTTAGTAATCGATACGAAAACTGTTACATATTAACTTTAGGTGGTTTGCGTGGTGTTAATGTCAATTGGTTGTTGGTTAACGATGGTTGTTGCTTTTAGTAATTTGTATAATTTCCTTATTGCGCACTTTTTGTTTGGATTGTGAGAGAAAATCTGAGTGAGCACAGACATAATAATTGCGATGATGTAGATGATGGGCGATCTTGTTTCACATGCTTTACAATATAATTGACTTTGACTAATTTCTAATTTCTCCATTATCTTGTGTAATTACAGCAGTTAGCAAGTGGAATTTATACTAAAGCTTTATTATGTCGCGCATAATGAATGTATTATAGTTTTTTTGTCGTGGGAGGGTTTTATTGTCATTGTTGCAGTTGTATTACTGTATTGTTTGTATAGATATGACGCTGTTTAGGTTAAGTAAATATTATATACTACGTAATGTAAATATTTATGTTCTAGCCCATCAGAATACGACGTTGTGTAACGGTTTTATTAATTTATTCCTGATCGGTCGCAGGCTATACAAAAGCGTGTGTGTGATTGATGATGTAGTGAATTTGCACTTCTATCACTTTTATTCATTTAAACCGCCAAAAATAATTAAAACTTGGTTTCTGCTTTAACAGACTCTTAAATTTTTCTTGACAAAGGTCAATAACCTTTCGTTTTCTTCTTTACTTATTCCATCTACTATATGGGAAACTATAAACGAAAAATAGAGAGGTTTAACCGCGACGTCGCGATGGTTGCCTTCGTGATGGCTTTTTTTTTTCCTTGGACGGTGATGTTTCAGCTGCAGAGTTGTCCGAGGTGAGAGTCGCCGGGGATGGCGGTGATGTAGGTTCAATGTGAGAAGGAGGTGTTGCGAGCTGACGCGTTGTAGGTTCTTCGGATTCTTTTCCTGCAGATTTTACTTGCTTCGACTTTCTGTATCGACGTGAAGGTGAGTCATTTTTATCATTATCATTATCATTATCTTCTATTCATATAGATGAATCCCTCTTCAGTCCTTCGAATTTGGGACTTGTTTGAGTTACGAATTCGAAGTTATAAATTTCACAACAAGTAAACGATTAAACCTTGTCTCCGATAGCATTACAGTCGGACAACCTCTCGTCCATCTACTCGGAAAGGTATTTCAACAGAATAATATTACTGAAAACGGTTATACTTATCTGAGCAGCACGCAGTGTGTAACACCAAAAAACACAACGTTACCCATTCCTAGTAAAAAAAATACACCACACAGATAATAATTTTATACTACCAATT